GCTCTTCCAAAAGAGGACAGGAAAAAGGGGGGTTTAAGCCCAGGCTCTGGGAAGTTGGTTTTGAAGCCGCGGCTTTAGGTAGGAGGAGAAATCCGCATCTTCCTCGTTTACAAGATCCAGGTACTTCGTACCCCAGCGCTGAGTCTGGAACCTAACAGAAGTTCAGAGTGGGTGGACAGATTTCCTGTAAGTTCACGAACGAGACAGAACGGCGCTATTTGAAAGCTCTTTTCTCAGCTGTGAGAGCTTTAAAAAGTGAGTTACGGTCCACCCCCACACCGACGCCTCAACGCTGGATGCCCAAGAGCGATTTAGTCAACCAGGGCAGTGTGTGGAGGCGGCGGGGAGAAGCAGGTACCTTCACAGGGTGATGAAGTCACCTTAGGACAGGAGGTCGGACTCGCCACCGGAGGGAGCCTGTTTCTCTCCACCGAGTACAGGGCACTGCCTGCTGCAAGGTGGCCAGTTCAGACCTAAACACCGGGAATACGTCAAAAACGCAAATGTTAAATATTGGCATTTCGTTTGGAGCAGGAGGGGGGGTTTCACAGCAATTTCTCATCACTACAGGAACATGCAGTGGCTTGACTATAACCACAGACGCATTCAAAGAAAAAAAAAGATTGACAGGCTTCAGTGATTCACCTGGAGAGAAATCGCCCTTTTCTTCAACTCACTTCTCTCTCCCTGACTTTTCCCTGTTAAAGTCCTAAAACCTCATCGATGTCCATCGCCACGTGTCAGAACATCTACATCTTCAGCGCTGCTCTGCAGGCTTCCATTGAGTGGTTTTACACATCTCAGCCTTGCAAACAAAGACTGGTCACAACCAGGCAGATTTTCTCCCTAGCTGTAAGGATTCACCACTGATTCAGCAATTACACAACTCCAATCTCAAACAAAATGGGTGTTGTAGCATAAGGCAAGCGCTGAAGCCTGTTCAAGTTACTGGTTTTTGTCAAGTGACTGCAACATCTCTAGGAAATTAAATATAAAAATTATGTAGAAGATGGAAGACAGGCAGAAAATCATCACAACTGCAAAAATAAAACCATCAGCTGACCCACTGTCAGCCAGAGCTGGGGAAAGAAAGAAAAACTCAGGTCAGCTGAGCTGCCGTACCAAAACCAACAGAAATGACGAGTTCTCCATTCCCGTGGCAGGCAGTGACACCGTCACGGGCTGGAACGATACGCGGCAGCCGTTACTCTGCTTGTTTTAAAAGTAAAAAAGAAATCCCTCTTGTGTGCGCACGTGTGATGACCGTTAAAAAGCACTTGTTTCTTCAATACACATTATACTTTGTACATCGAGTTATTTCAATTTTTTTTTATTATGACAATTTACATGTCATATTTATATGAAAGAAATGACAGTAGATATTATAACAAAAACATTATGAAAGAAAAGTTACACAATTAGGCCGACAAGCTATAAAATGGCTTCAGGCCCAGCTTATACACAAAGAGTTCTGACCAGACTGTAGTGAGAGACAACGCTGAACGATTCATTAACAAAAATATTGGCACCAGCCTTAACATTATTTTTTTTTTTACTTCATTTACAAGGAATACAGTATTTAAACAGTTGTGTACTGCAAATCTAAAAACATTAGCTGTTAATAAACTGCAGTTAACCCTTTGAGCACTGAGGCCGCCATGACTTCCATTTAAAAAACTTCTAATGCATCATGTTTTGCATGCACGTGATGTTCCTGGTGCGGGGGGAAGCCAGTGAAAGCACCACCCAGTTTATGTGCAACAAGAATAACACTTCCAGTTTTTGCAACGTTATCTCCCCCCCTCCCACACACACGGTGTGTGTCCCCCTCAGTCCTTTCCCTTCGATATCGTAGCAAGTCATGATTGAAGAGAGATTGAAAAACCAAGGTTCAGGACTCCAGAAACACAAGGGTTAAACTCTACATAAAGAGCTCAGCTTGTGGAACTTTACCAAGTTCACTCTTTAGAGAAAGAAAACAAAAATGAGGCCAACTGTCAATGAGACCATTTTTAAGGAACTCGAGGTTTCTTTGCAAACGTATAAACAGCACACAGGAGTAAGCCAAAACTGTATTTCATGTAAGCGTAGCTCAAATTTTAAGAGACCTATCTGGGAGGTTTGATCTAATTCTCACAGAATATTGGAGGATAACCATTGTGCTAGCAAGTAACCTGCTCTGGGCTACCCGGCACGATGAACATACCCGATGTTTGTCTAACGTACAGGATCCGTGCCTACGCGAGAACCGTCGTGCATACTGAGGACGGCGACGTTATGCTTTTGACTCGGTCGCACACCGTCTCCTGGCTGCTGCCGGAGGGCTGCGAAACACAGGTAGGAGGAACTAGCAACCACGTTGGCATTACCAGCCGATCGCCGTAATGCGCGTTAGGGGGAGGAGTACCATTGCAATGAATATAGCACAGGAAGAAGATACTGTACAAGATTTTAGAGTCCATATAACGAGTATGAAATGGAAAACTAAACAAGGCTTATAGCTTTATGATTTGATTTCCTTGTCTACCACTAACTTGAGTAGCAGATTAGTATCTATTAAGGACTTTTAACTGCTCTAACTAACAAATGGTGCACTGGTAACTAGGCCTACCATATGTTTTAGTAGAAGGACTTTATCCCCATAGAATCATTTAAGTCAAGTTCTGACAGACTAATCTAAGTTTAGTTGCATGGGACACAGTAAGAGGAACAAACAACAAAGCAAACTGTGCGGACTCCGACCGACGTCCCCAGAGGCAGACATTGTCGTAATACTCTATGGACCGATCCTAATTTTCTCCACATCGCGCCGATGGAACGTTACCGATTCCCTCGAGGAAGGAGACCTCAAGTAGATTTTTCCTGCTACTTTGAAGGTCAGGATGAGAAAAGGAGGGTATCGGGATGACTCTCCTAAATGGAGACCTTCCATTGGAAATACAGTCTTTACAGGGCGAGTCAGAAGTAGTTTTTAGGCCTGTCCAAGACCTGTCTTGCAAATGGCGTGGGTTTGCATACACATTTTTCTGTTCCGCTTCCCTCCATCCATTCCCCATCTCCTGCTGTTATTTGAAAGAGCATTCCAACAGCAGGAGAAAGTGACTCTGTCTGCACCTGGGGAACCAGTGAGACTGACTATACACAAAGTGCTGCAAAGTGCACAAAGTAAACCAACTGAACGACTAGAGCGGCTCTATCGTTCGGTTCTCGTTAGTAACCTTTGGGGTTATACGCAGCAATAGTAGATATATTCGCAGACACGCGTGCCTTCATTAAGCACGTCTCCCCTCTAACTGCTATATTGTCCCCTCTCCTGCTCCTCAGGTCAGGTGTGGGGTGCCAGCATTTACAAAATGATAGTCAAAAAACCAAGTTGTAGGACTTCCTTTTAATTGCAGTTAAATCTGGAGCCTTTACACCACATATTCAATTATAAAAACTTCTTATCTACTTTAGAGTGTTCTATTCTCTCCCCCAGAAGCTGTACACAATCTTTTTAAGTGTCATACTAAGCAATATACATCTTTTTGCAATATACAAAATAAGTTAAATTACTCTGGAGCGTTGGGATAATCAATTCCCAAGCACACGTTTTTGCTGTTGGGAACTATCTCAGTTAGTTACACCTAATCTAAAAGAAGAGCTTGGTAAGTGATGCACGTTTTCAGAAGTGACTGGTAACCTTCGATACCCCAACTGCTGGGTGTCCAGCTTCAGAAATAATTTTCAATCGATAAATATTTCTGAAGCCAGAGCTCTCCGCTAGGTCTCAGATCGGGTACTTAACGGTAAAGCACCAAAACCGAGTCATATAGAATTTTTCTTAAATCAGTATATACTGGGGGAAAAAAAAAAAAAAAGTATCGTTTCTGTTGGATTTTTTATTTTCTGCCTTCCAGCATTTCCAGTGAGATATGGTCCCTACCCCAGCTGTTAGGGAAGGGGAGGAAGAAAAGACTGTGAGGAAACGTGGGCTTGATCCTGCAAATCCTTACTTCAGACAATATCCTAAAGGCTTCTATAGAATTTTCAAACACTTAAGGAATTGCAGAATTGTGCTCCTTCACGTGAATTGCTGGAGTTTCCCCCACCATATTCAACACATTTTTTTTCAGAAA